AAAGAAAGAAAGAAAGAAAGCAGAGCGGGGTGAAACTCCATTGCTTCCACGACCTCCCAAGGGAAGTGATGATATATGTGAAGGACACTAGGATGAAGCAGAAAGAAGGAAGTGAATGTTGCACTAATTGCAGATTTTGCCAAGAGCAGCTTGGCTGCCAAGGCTACTTCAGCCTTGACTCATAGCTCCATGATCTGGGAGACAGCGCAGTGTCCTGCTGTGCTGGACATCTTCCAGTGGCATTGACCCAATGGGGGGTTGAGGGGAAGACTTCCTGATGCTAAGAACGAGAAACTTGCCTCCAAAGTCGAGTTCCTGCACCACCTACCTGCCCGACGTGGGAAGATGGAGCCGGGAGGGGTGCTGAGAGCAGACTCCAGGTAGGTCTACGGACTAGACCCCTTCGCAAACTGAATTTTTTAAAAGTTCATCACACACAAATTTGCATCTGATTTCCTTTCAGGAGATTCGTGCTCATTCTTGCACTGCCCGTCAATCTGAAGATATTTCTTCTAGATCAAAGTCTTCCTCGAACCTTGATAAGGGTGGACTGAGAGGACAGGGGGTACAGCTCTAGGCCACCACCCCACCATCACCACCAACACATTTACTGAACCCCAAGGCAGCCCCGTCATCTTGTCAGCCAGTAATTACTTCTGACAAAACCCGAACGGAGAAACAGACGTGATCTTCGTTTCTGGTTCTCTCCACGCATAGCACTCCGGGGACCCGGTCATTGATGAATCTTAATCCTCACTTTAGTTTCTCAACTACAGCTTCCAGTTCCTACTTTGCCAAGCTCATCTGGGGGGAGCCGGTCCTGGGTCCCCTCATTAATCCACAGACACCCACCTCACTCTAAGGAATCCGTCACTCCCCCAAATGCCCACATTTGACCACTGGAGGGCAGTGCTGGACCAGCCAAAGCTCTTTAAGAGCCTGCTCCATCTTTGTGCCCACCAGGCCGGAGCAGAGCGGGGTGCAGCCTTTGGTTGGAAGCCAAAACCGAGGACCACAGGAGCGCCCCGAGAGAAGCACCAGCACAGCCAGGCCTGTTACAACAGCTCCCTGCACCTGGCAGTTCAATGGAAAGCGGATTTGGCTCCCTAAGTGGCACAATCCCCTGGGAAAGAGACGGAAAGGAAAACTTGCCCCATCATGTCATTAACCAGGAACAATCTGTGTCTCTGACCAGGGGTTGCAGAATCCTACCTTTCTCTACCCACTCAGATGTAAGCTCTCGGCAGTACCCCTGGGGCTTGGCAATAACGTTTGTTGAATGAGTGGATGCAAGCATATATACGTGCACATAATCGAAATGGGCCGTGACCAGATTTGCTGCTGTTTTCCAGCTCTTACGACATCTAAAGCTGAAGCCATCAACTAGCTGCTGAGCATTCTTAGTCCTGGAGACCGCTAGGTCCTAGAGATCCAGGTTATTGATTAGCGCAGTGGCTGTTGTGGTACAGATGTTATTTCAAAAGCCACCTCAAGATTTTCAATCTCTTACTTTTAAGAAGACCCTCATTCTGTCAACCATGTGTCCTCAGACCTCACCAGCCTGTGGATTAAAAAAATACAGGCATTGTTTCCTTAACATCCAGCTCACAGAAACGGCAGCCTCTAATGTGAGAATACTGAGCAGCCTTTCACTCCCCAGGGGATTTGTGGTAATTTTGTCCCACGCTAGGGCCCCGTGGGCCTTGACAATTCCCCTCAGCCAGAACTGCTCCTCTGGCCACCTTGGGTCATCTGCTGAGGCTCATCTCCACGTTACTCTCGCCTCTAGCCGCCCCCTACAGATCCCATGGGATCATGTCAGTGTGGACACAACCTGCTCCCATGATCATTTAAGGCACAGCTATACGCGTGAGGAGAGAAAGAAGTGCACATTTTGAGACCCCAAAACCACATGAGGCCCGCTCTGTCTCCCCACAGGCTTTCACATAGCAGGGACCAGTCTGTGCCCCAATAAAAATCTGCAGATGTCCCCACGTCTCCAAGTTCGGAGTCTAAGACTAGCTCCTTTCCTGCCCTGAGTCGAGGGGCAGTGGCAAAAGTCATTTCCTGCTGGGAGGCTCTCCCTGCACCCCCCACTCTCTCAGATGGAGTCTGGCCTTCGTGGCCCTACAGGGCAAACACAGTGTTTGTTATTAGATCCTAGAATATCACCTATGGGACACCAATGGCTCTGATTAAATTCATACTGGGAGGGGGGTCGGAATCTGCCCCTAATTCTAATTAAGAAAGACACCAATTAGTTTTTAATCAAACATTTACCATCTTAGTGTATAACATCTGCATTTAGTTCTATGACAACTTCATCATCTCCACAATAACGAGTGGATATTTGTTTTGGATGTGAATAAACGCATTCTCAACCTCACTCTAGTTTTATCCACAAAAGAAGAGCGCTCTAAACTTCACCTCTCTACTCTACCAACAGAATCCCAACATCCCCCAAGAGCCTTCAAGGAGCAGTTCTCCAGCCAAAGGCGGGGGGCAAGGGGGGGAAGAAAAAAAAGTCCTCCCTTTATAAGTTGTCCCTTTTGTGAAAAATTCTAACTGAAATTTTCACTATCCAGTTCAAAGCTAGGTCCTCAGACGACATGGCTGGTCCTCATCCTTCTCATGAAAATACTGTAAATCAAAGGATACCTTTCCTGAGAGCAAACAGAAATTGAAAAAAAAAAAAAACCAATTCATTCCAACACAGCATTTTTCTATCACTGTCCATGGGAGTTGAGTTGATCATATGTTAAGCGTGTCCTAGCCTATGTACTTTCTCAAGATGCCTTCACTGTGATTAAGGGACAGGCCTCCAGGGTAGTGTCTCAGTTCCGTACCTGGAAGAAACAACGTCAGGAAATTTCTGGAAGAGAGGAGATTGACAGTCAATACGTAAGAGAAGGATGGTCCCCAGGGTTAGCTCCTGTGTTCAAATACAGACCTGTCTCAGGCTCTGGTTGCCAGGTCCTGGTCTGTGGTGGGTGGATAATGCCCAAGGCCTTGATACTAGGTCTGATGTCCAGGTTTGACATTGACGGCAGGCTTGTGATTTTGAAAAACCCATAATCTTTCTTTCCCGAATCCTCAACCTTCTGACACCTTGTCCTAGGAGAGAAGTGTCTGAGATGGTTTCCCTTGAAACCACGGGCTTTTCTTACAATTCCAGGGCCACACAGCCCTGGTTCGTAACTGGTGGGTTTTATTTTCCATGCTGCTGTGGCAGTGAGATCAGATACCAAGTTAATGTAAAAAGCGAGGTAGACAATGAGAAGGATCAGAAATAAGGACCTGGAAAGAGGAAAGAGATTCAGGAGACACTTCACATGTGGATGAATGATATGCGGGAGCTGAAGGAGAAGGGAGAGATGGCCTCTTCCTGGCATCCTGGAAAGATATGCTGGAATATTCTCTCGTTCCCATGTTCCATGGCCTTTCTGTCAGAAATTAATTCTTACTTGTTTTTTTAATACGTGAAGGCTTAAGATGTCAATCCTCCTAAAAAATTAGAGCCCCTTTCCATTAAAATGGCTTTGGGTATGACGTTTCCCCTGCCGCCAGGGACAGCCTTCTCCCTAGGAATCTTTGGTGAGCCTTTCTGCAGTCACCATGAGCACACATCTATCTTCCCAACCAGCTCCCAAACATCATTCACACTGCTATGGCCGTGCCTCTGGAGGATCCCCAGCCACCCCATCACACAGCTCCATAGGCACACCCCCTGCCATGCCACCAGCCCCCACCTCCACATCCCTGGGTGTGAGTCTGTGTGGCCTCAGCTGTCCCCAACTCTCTTCTGTGTCATCCTGAGTCCAGGCATTCTGGGATGAGTGTCTCCTTGTTTCTTTGTCCACTGTCCTGTTATGCCTTCAAATTTGCTCATGAGAATATCTTGCAGAAAGATG